CATTAATAACTTCATTACCTCGTGTGTTTAACTGATTGTCTTGTTGTTTTCAGCCGAGGTAACATTAATAACTTCATTACCTCGTGTGTTTAACTGATTGTGTTTTCAGCCGAGGTAACATTAATAACTTCATTACCTCGTGTGTTTAACTGATTGTCTTGTTGTTTTCAGCCGAGGTAACATTAATAACTTCATTACCTCGTGTGTTTAACTGATTGTGTTTTCAGCCGAGGTAACATTAATAACTTCATTACCTCGTGTGTTTAACTGATTGTCTTGTTGTTTTCAGCCGAGGTAACATTAATAACTTCATTACCTCGTGTGTTTAACTGATTGTCTTGTTGTTTTCAGCCGAGGTAACATTAATAACTTCATTACCTCGTGTGTTTAACTGATTGTCTTGTTGTTTTCAGCCGAGGTAACATTAATAACTTCATTACCTCGTGTGTTTAACTGATTGTGTTTTCAGCCGAGGTAACATTAATAACTTCATTACCTCGTGTGTTTAACTGATTGTCTTGTTGTTTTCAGCCGAGGTAACATTAATAACTTCATTACCTCGTGTGTTTAACTGATTGTGTTTTCAGCCGAGGTAACATTAATAACTTCATTACCTCGTGTGTTTAACTGATTGTCTTGTTGTTTTCAGCCGAGGTAACATTAATAACTTCATTACCTCGTGTGTTTAACTGATTGTGTTTTCAGCCGAGGTAACATTAATAACTTCATTACCTCGTGTGTTTAACTGATTGTGTTTTCAGCCGAGGTAACATTAATAACTTCATTACCTCGTGTGTTTTAACTGATTGTGTTTTCAGCCGAGGTAACATTAATAACTTCATTACCTCGTGTGTTTAACTGATTGTCTTGTTGTTTTCAGCCGAGGTAACATTAATAACTTCATTACCTCGTGTGTTTAACTGATTGTGTTTTCAGCCGAGGTAACATTAATAACTTCATTACCTCGTGTGTTTAACTGATTGTCTTGTTGTTTTCAGCCGAGGTAACATTAATAACTTCATTACCTCGTGTGTTTAACTGATTGTGTTTTCAGCCGAGGTAACATTAATAACTTCATTACCTCGTGTGTTTAACTGATTGTCTTGTTGTTTTCAGCCGAGGTAACATTAATAACTTCATTACCTCGTGTGTTTAACTGATTGTGTTTTCAGCCGAGGTAACATTAATAACTTCATTACCTCGTGTGTTTAACTGATTGTCTTGTTGTTTTCAGCCGAGGTAACATTAATAACTTCATTACCTCGTGTGTTTAACTGATTGTGTTTTCAGCCGAGGTAACATTAATGACTTCATTACCTCGTGTGTTTAACTGATTGTGTTTTCAGCCGAGGTAACATTAATAACTTCATTACCTCGTGTGTTTAACTGATTGTGTTTTCAGCCGAGGTAACATTAATAACTTCATTACCTCGTGTGTTTTAACTGATTGTGTTTTCAGCCGAGGTAACATTAATAACTTCATTACCTCGTGTGTTTAACTGATTGTCTTGTTGTTTTCAGCCGAGGTAACATTAATAACTTCATTACCTCGTGTGTTTAACTGATTGTGTTTTCAGCCGAGGTAACATTAATAACTTCATTACCTCGTGTGTTTAACTGATTGTCTTGTTGTTTTCAGCCGAGGTAACATTAATAACTTCATTACCTCGTGTGTTTAACTGATTGTGTTTTCAGCCGAGGTAACATTAATAACTTCATTACCTCGTGTGTTTAACTGATTGTCTTGTTGTTTTCAGCCGAGGTAACATTAATAACTTCATTACCTCGTGTGTTTAACTGATTGTGTTTTCAGCTGAGGTAACATTAATAACTTAATTACCTCGTGTGTTTAACTGATTGTCTTGTTGTTTTCAGCCGAGGTAACATTAATAACTTCATTACCTCGTGTGTTTAACTGATTGTGTTTTCAGCCGAGGTAACATTAATAACTTCATTACCTCGTGTGTTTAACTGATTGTGTTTTCAGCCGAGGTAACATTAATAACTTCATTACCTCGTGTGTTTTAACTGATTGTGTTTTCAGCCGAGGTAACATTAATAACTTCATTACCTCGTGTGTTTAACTGATTGTCTTGTTGTTTTCAGCCGAGGTAACATTAATAACTTCATTACCTCGTGTGTTTAACTGATTGTGTTTTCAGCCGAGGTAACATTAATAACTTCATTACCTCGTGTGTTTAACTGATTGTCTTGTTGTTTTCAGCCGAGGTAACATTAATAACTTCATTACCTCGTGTGTTTAACTGATTGTGTTTTCAGCCGAGGTAACATTAATAACTTCATTACCTCGTGTGTTTAACTGATTGTCTTGTTGTTTTCAGCCGAGGTAACATTAATAACTTCATTACCTCGTGTGTTTAACTGATTGTGTTTTCAGCCGAGGTAACATTAATAACTTCATTACCTCGTGTGTTTAACTGATTGTCTTGTTGTTTTCAGCCGAGGTAACATTAATAACTTCATTACCTCGTGTGTTTAACTGATTGTGTTTTCAGCCGAGGTAACATTAATAACTTCATTACCTCGTGTGTTTAACTGATTGTGTTTTCAGCCGAGGTAACATTAATAACTTCATTACCTCGTGTGTTTTAACTGATTGTGTTTTCAGCCGAGGTAACATTAATAACTTCATTACCTCGTGTGTTTAACTGATTGTCTTGTTGTTTTCAGCCGAGGTAACATTAATAACTTCATTACCTCGTGTGTTTAACTGATTGTGTTTTCAGCCGAGGTAACATTAATAACTTCATTACCTCGTGTGTTTAACTGATTGTCTTGTTGTTTTCAGCCGAGGTAACATTAATAACTTCATTACCTCGTGTGTTTAACTGATTGTGTTTTCAGCCGAGGTAACATTAATAACTTCATTACCTCGTGTGTTTAACTGATTGTCTTGTTGTTTTCAGCCGAGGTAACATTAATAACTTCATTACCTCGTGTGTTTAACTGATTGTGTTTTCAGCCGAGGTAACATTAATAACTTCATTGCCTCGTGTGTTTAACTGATTGTGTTTTCAGCCGAGGTAACATTAATGACTTCATTACCTCGTGTGTTTAACTGATTGTGTTTTCAGCCGAGGTAACATTAATAACTTCATTACCTCGTGTGTTTAACTGATTGTGTTTTCAGCCGAGGTAACATTAATAACTTCATTACCTCGTGTGTTTAACTGATTGTCTTGTTGTTTTCAGCCGAGGTAACATTAATAACTTCATTACCTCGTGTGTTTAACTGATTGTGTTTTCAGCCGAGGTAACATTAATAACTTCATTACCTCGTGTGTTTAACTGATTGTGTTTTCAGCCAAGGTAACATTAATAACTTCATTACCTCGTGTGTTTAACTGATTGTCTTGTTGTTTTCAGCCGAGGTAACATTAATAACTTCATTACCTCGTGTGTTTAACTGATTGTGTTTTCAGCCGAGGTAACATTAATAACTTCATTACCTCGTGTGTTTAACTGATTGTCTTGTTGTTTTCAGCCGAGGTAACATTAATAACTTCATTACCTCGTGTGTTTAACTGATTGTGTTTTCAGCCGAGGTAACATTAATAACTTCATTACCTCGTGTGTTTAACTGATTGTCTTGTTGTTTTCAGCCGAGGTAACATTAATAACTTCATTACCTCGTGTGTTTAACTGATTGTGTTTTCAGCCGAGGTAACATTAATGACTTCATTACCTCGTGTGTTTAACTGATTGTCTTGTTGTTTTCAGCCGAGGTAACATTAATAACTTCATTACCTCGTGTGTTTTAACTGATTGTGTTTTCAGCCGAGGTAACATTAATAACTTCATTACCTCGTGTGTTTAACTGATTGTCTTGTTGTTTTCAGCCTAGGTAACATTAATAACTTCATTACCTCGTGTGTTTAACTGATTGTGTTTTCAGCCGAGGTAACATTAATAACTTCATTACCTCGTGTGTTTAACTGATTGTCTTGTTGTTTTCAGCCGAGGTAACATTAATAACTTCATTACCTCGTGTGTTTAACTGATTGTCTTGTTGTTTTCAGCCGAGGTAACATTAATAACTTCATTACCTCGTGTGTTTAACTGATTGTGTTTTCAGCCGAGGTAACATTAATAACTTCATTACCTCGTGTGTTTAACTGATTGTCTTGTTGTTTTCAGCCAAGGTAACATTAATAACTTCATTACCTCGTGTGTTTAACTGATTGTGTTTTCAGCCGAGGTAACATTAATAACTTCATTACCTCGTGTGTTTAACTGATTGTCTTGTTGTTTTCAGCCGAGGTAACATTAATAACTTCATTACCTCGTGTGTTTAACTGATTTTGTTTTCAGCCGAGGTAACATTAATGACTTCATTACCTCGTGTGTTTAACTGATTGTCTTGTTGTTTTCAGCCGAGGTAACATTAATAACTTCATTACCTCGTGTGTTTAACTGATTGTGTTTTCAGCCGAGGTAACATTAATAACTTCATTACCTCGTGTGTTTAACTGATTGTGTTTTCAGCCGAGGTAACATTAATAACTTCATTACCTCGTGTGTTTAACTGATTGTGTTTTCAGCCGAGGTAACATTAATAACTTCATTACCTCGTGTGTTTCACTGATTGTGTTTTCAGCCGAGGTAACATTAATAACTTCATTACCTCGTGTGTTTAACTGATTGTCTTGTTGTTTTCAGCCGAGGTAACATTAATAACTTCATTACCTCGTGTGTTTAACTGATTGTCTTGTTGTTTTCAGCCGAGGTAACATTAATAACTTCATTACCTCGTGTGTTTAACTGATTGTGTTTTCAGCCGAGGTAACATTAATAACTTCATTACCTCGTGTGTTTAACTGATTGTCTTGTTGTTTTCAGCCGAGGTAACATTAATAACTTCATTACCTCGTGTGTTTAACTGATTGTGTTTTCAGCCGAGGTAACATTGATAACTTCAAGCTCCGCCCTCGCGTTGTTGTTTACATGTTTGTTTACATAGTTATTTATGTTTACACCAGGAGGTCCAGAAGGCGGCATCTCTCTTCTCCCTCTACACCGAGCTCTTCTCCATGATCCCCTCCCTGGCCGCCACCCTCATCCTCGTCACCTATAGCGACCAGCGCGGACGCAAGATCACCATCATCCTGCCTCTGATTGGCTCTCTGTTTTACACGGTGTCCTTCCTGTCCGTCTCCTTCTTCGAGCTGGACCTCTACCTCCTCATCGTCTCCTCCTTCGTCAGCGCCCTGTTCGGGGGCTCGGGGACGTTCCTGGGGGGCTGTTTCTCCTACATCGCTGACCTGTGCGAGGACGGACAGGAGAAGACCCTGCGGATGGCCGGGGTGGACATGGTGATCGGCCTGCTGTCTGGAGTGGCCTCTCTCTCTACGGGTTACTTCCTCCGAGCAGCAGGCTTCAACTGGCCCTTCTTCACCTCGGCTCTGTTCCAGTGTGTCAACCTGGTCTACGCCGTCTTCGTCCTGGAGGAGACGGTCCAACGACCTCCAGACGACCCCCTGGACGGCTCCCCGCGCCGCACCGCCATGCGTCAGCTGGCCTACGGGGTCTACCAGCTGTTTGCAGGGGCCAGCAGGAGGCGCAACGTCCTCCTGGTTCTCCTCCTGCTCCTCTTCTCCTCCTTCTCCTTCGCCAACGTGGGCGGGATCTCCACGATCACGCTGTACGAGCTCAACCAGCCGCTGTGCTGGAACGAGATCCTGATTGGCTACGGCTCGGCGCTGTCCATGACAGTGTTCCTGACCAGCTTCGTGGGCGTGACTGTGTTCTCTCGCTGCGGCGTGCCCAACCTCGTCATCATACTCATAGGGATACTGAGTGTCATGGCGGCCATGACCCTGGTGGCCTTCGCCAAGACCACGCTCATGATGTTCCTGGGTAAGGAATAAGGATGATTTTCACATGGTAACATGGTCAGGAATAAGGATGATTTTCACATGGTAACATGGTCAGGAATAAGGATGATTTTCAATGGTAACATGGTCAGGAATAAGGATGATTTTCACATGGTAACATGGTCAGGAATAAGGATGATTTTCACATGGTAACATGGTCAGGAATAAGGATGATTTTCAATGGTAACATGGTCAGGAATAAGGATGATTTTCAATGGTAACATGGTCAGGAATAAGGATGATTTTCACATGGTAACATGGTCAGGAATAAGGATGATTTTCAATGGTAACATGGTCAGGAATAAGGATGATATTCACATGGTAATTTAACAGACACCTTTATCCAAAACGACTCACATTCGGTATGTGCCCCAAAACATTTTTAAACTCCCATGTAGGGTTGGGGTCAATTCCATTTACATTCCAGTCAATTCAGAAAGTAAAACAAATTCCCAACATGGGAGTCAGGTTATGAACAGGTTATGAACAGGTTATGAACATGTTATGTCGCTTCTGTTAGTTGTCCCTTTTTGGAAAGGAGCAAGAGAGAGACCTGAATATCATTGGCTGAAACGTAGGCTAAACCTATTACAAAAGTCCATAAAATCTAGTTGCTTGTTGTATTATGATTTAATGTCTAATATCTGAATGTGTCTTCATTTTCATTATATCGGGTTTCACAGCCGTAATCAAATAAAGCAATCTGATAAGCCTTGGAACGTTGCCAAGGAAAATCGGCCACTCATAAACAGGCTGCACTGCGTTCAAATCTGCAATTTGCCACAGTTACGTTATGACTATAACTACTGCTCCCTGAAGGAGGGAAATTAGGTAAAACATGCTATGGGGAGTCGCACTCTCGCAACTTCGGTTGTACCTCGTTTCCCTCCTCCGGGGAACAGTAGTTATAGTCATGTTGTACCTCGTGTTCATAACATGTTCATAACCTAATGCTGTTCAGTCTACATATCGATTGAGAACCCAGTGAATCAATAATGTGATGTAAGCCTCGGGATCTGCTTCTTCACATATGGACAGATATCATCCTGTGCTTAGAGTATCTTATGGTTGTTAGTACAGTCCATGTGTCTGAGTTATCCCGGATATTCTCTCTAGATTCTATTGTCTATATTTAGATTTTATATCTAGATCTCTCTCATCATCCTCTAGTCTATGGATTCTCTTTCTCTCTCTCATGTCTCTCTCTCTCTACTCTATCTCTCTCTCTCTCTCTCTCTCTCTCTCGTCTCTGTCTCTCTCTCTCTCTTTCTCTCTCTCTGTCTCTGTCTCTCTCTCTCTCTCTCTCTCTCTCTCTCTGCCTCTCTCTGTCCCTCTGAATTCAATTCAATAAATGCTTTATTGACAAGAATGGGTGGTTTCCACTGTTGCCAAAGGAATCTATAGGAAGTATTACAAAAATGAACAATATGCTTGAGCAAAAATATTAATAAAATCACAACAAAAATCTACATGGACTAAATAAAAAAAAATTAACCCAAACAACCCAAAATTGAGAATAAAATTTCACAAGGAAATCTCTCTCTTATGTTTGTTCTTCTCAGTGAGGCTTCCAATGCTGCTGGCTATCATGCCATTCCCCATGCTGAGATCCATGATGTCGAAGATCGTGTCAAAGACCGAGCAGGGTGAGTTTTAGTTCAGTTCAGTTTCTTTGACTAAACTAATGCTTTAAAAACAGATAACAAAGCAGATAACAAAGCAGAGAACAAAGCAGATAACAAAGCACATCCATTAATACAATTATTGAGAATTAAACAGATTTATTTAGACTTATTTCCATTAGGGTCCTCATGCCTTTGGTTTATTATGGATCCCCATTAAATCAAATCAAATTTTATTGGTCACATGCGCCGAATACAACAGGTGCAGACATTACAGTGAAATGCTTACTTACAGCCCTTAACCAACAGTGCATTTATTTTAAACAAAAAAGTAAGAATAAAACAACAACAAAAAAGTGTTGAGAAAAAAAGAGCAGAAGTAAAAATAAAGTGACAGTAGGGAGGCTATATATACAATAGAATAAAGTGACAGTAGGGAGGCTATATATACAGGGGGGTACCGTTGCATAGTCAATGTGCGGGGGCACCGGCTAGTTGAGGTAGTTGAGGTAATATGTACATGTGGGTAGAGTTAAAGTGACTATGCATAAATACTTAACAGAGTAGCAGCAGCGTAAAAAGTATGGGGTGGGGGGGCAGTGCAAATAGTCCGGGTAGCCATGATTAGCTGTTCAGGAGTCTTATGGCTTGGGGGTAGAAGCTGTTGAGAAGTCTTTTGGACCTAGACTTGGCACTCCGGTACCGCTTGCCGTGCGGTTAGCAGAGAGAACAGTCTATGACTAGGGTGACTGGAGTCTTTGACAATTTTGAGGGCCTTCCTCTGACACCGCCTGGTATAGAGGTCCTGGATGGCAGGGAGCTTTGCCCCTGTGATGTACTGGGCCGTACGCACTACCCTCTGTAGTGCCTTGCGGTCAGAGGCCAAGCAGTTGCCATACCAGGCGGTGATGCAACCAGTCAGGATGCTCTCGGATGGTGCAGCTGGTAAAGAAACTTTTTGCCTGGGGG